AGAGTGTACGCACAGTCGTACAGAGTGTACGCACAGTCGTACAGAGTGTACGCACAGTCGTACAGAGTATACGTACAGTCGTACAGAGTATACGGACAGTCGTACAGAGTATACGCACAGTCGTACATAGTATACGCACAGTCGTACAGAGTATACGCACAGTCGTACAGAGTAGTTTTTGATATAAGCGAACATTGTTCTTCAAAAAACGAAAAAATATGCATCTGGTACGCACTATATTCCTCTGTCGTCTTTTAGTGGATAACATTTTATTGTATTTGCTGATTGTAGTAATTGTCTTTGCAGTATGTTGTACAATCACGGATTTCAGCCAAGGAAGCTATGAAGCATGTATACTTTTACAGCCTTGGACCACGTGTCTTAGAACTTGAAGATCGTAAGTCAGTAACAATGATTGTCATCATCATTAGATCATCATCATGATAGTCAGCCACCTATATTACATGTAAACTCTAGTCTGGTTTGAACAAGATACAAAAGGCACATTGTCTTGATTGTACATATCATAATCGCCTACATCATCATCACTCTCATCATCGGCATCATAAATCATTGCCACCATCATAAATCAGCATCATTCTAATCATCAATCATTGTAATCACTGGCATCAATATAAGCATGAATATAGCATTGYAATATTACATAATATGTACATGTAKCCTTCAGCGATAAAGAAAGTTTGATAACGTTTATTTTGGTCTTTCTCTCTCCACAGTTCAGTCTATATTTTCGTTAGATGACATTCGTCTCACAAAGGATCCTGGGTATCGGTCTACAAGCAAAGGAACAGGTWAGATTCCCTGTAATATCCCAGCATCCTAAGCGGTGTATTCAATGACTATTGTTCTTGCAGGACGCGCCGAATCAAAGTCAAGACCGGCTAAATTAAAAGAGGAAATGTCTTAGATAATATTTTWCTTACACAAGCACTTTGCTAAAACCTTTCTATTGGTTACACTTTGTGAGCGTGAGGGGACTGGGTTTGATCATGCATGAATGTCGTCAGCACATACCAATTCTTTCACTCATTTCTTTATAGGTCCCTCTAAAAGACGTCAAAGCATGCTGTTTTAAAGCATCTATTTACTATGCAATATTAAATTCGTAAATAGCCGCTGTCATAAGAAGCATGGGCTCACAACGAATGCTGATAATATGAAGATACAAAGTACCATTAATTTGCACATACCGTTATTTTGGATGATTTTTAAGTTGACTCGACGATTACCGACCTTAAAAACAGCACAAATGACGTCATAGCATGCATATATGACGTTAAGGCTTTAGCGTAAAGATGTGTTATGCTGCAAGTAAAAGACGTTTAAAGAGCGAAAAAGGATGACGTCACAAGGCTATTCTATTTGTGTCATCACCATCTTGATCGTAAAATCAAATGCAGAGGAAAGAATTAGTGTTTTAGTGTAAACCTTTCCTAATATGTGCCTATATTTGAATAGTGATATGGGAAGAATGTGGGAGAGTTTTATATAGAATACTGCACATGCTCAGAAGGCACGATTGCTATAGAAGGCGAATCACGCTGAATCAATCCAACGGTTATCAATGAGAAAAAGAAATATGAATATTATGAAAATGAGATAATGTTGAATTTATTGAAAGACCTCGAATCAGTTTGGTTTGAAGTCTTGTCGCACAGAACTCGCAGTGTTGTGTGACGGTGGTTTGTGTTTGGTTTCTTTGTTAGTTGTAGTTAGTTTTTAGCATTTAGTAGAACTTTTATTCGTTTTATAAACCGCAGTTCTTACAGTTTTCATTTCTTTTATCATTAATTTATTTTCCATATCGTTGACCACGCCTAAGTGCAGAAATGTCTTGATTGAGCCGGTTTCATTGGACATTTTAATTTTAGCCTTTTTTAAAAGAAGATTCGTTCTACAGCACCAAATATTTAATGTTATTTTTATCGAATAATAATTGTTATTGAAATATTGAAGTCACAATCTATCAATTTAGTACAACTAACCAAAATAAGTTGTTTTAGTCTACACAAATAGTACTATTAATCAAAGCTATCAATCATTTTATAATCTAAGTCCAGATTAGCAATAATCGTTTCTGTATTTGGGTTTGGAAATGTAACAATAACGTGCTAGCATTAGAGGAAAAAAAGTCAAAAGCAGAATTACTAACGCAACAGTAGAATTCTACGCAGCAGTACAGAGCTCAGCTCTATAACGTATAGAACYGCCAGAAACCGTTCGGTCGATAATCAGGGGGCTGCTGTGCGGACACCATATTGCGATAGTAGTATATTAATGTCATGTTTTAACCGTTTTGTAATTTTAAATTTTCTCAGTTGTAAATACAAATCAAATGGAAATAAATATGACAAGCAAACAACACTAATAAGTTGCGTTTGGTTTTTATGAACTTTTCTCATCCCTTTTCTCCTCTTCTATCGTCTCTAAACGAAACTGGTAGAATTATAGAGATTTTATAGCGGCCCGCCGACTTCTCATTTCAAGTACCAATCAAAAGACATGGTTGTACTGGAAACTCGTACACGTCTGTACAAAAGGTAGAGGCGAGAGGGCCGGGAATAACAATATTGGGTTTCCTGTGAAATTCCCCATAATGCCTTGCACGGATAGACTGGGCTCCAGTTCTGATATCGATCAAGAGCGAAAAGAACCGCTTTCAAAATGGTGAACAAGAAAGTTTAATTGTAAATATATAAACTCAAAGAACTGCGAGAAATGTGGGCTGAATAGGGCCCTTGCAGTCTACTGTATGAGTGAGACAACAGCAAAAAACCATCATGGGCCCCAACGCAAAAATAACTCTCATGTCAACGAGAAAGCTGACGACAAASAAGAAGCACAGAGCGATGAACTTGTCGTAAAAAACAAAAAAATATGTAACGAAAGCGAGAGAGAAGAGAAACCTCCGTCTCCTATGGCAGAGGAAAGGTGATTTTAATCGTAATTTTTTTAAGTTTGTGACTTTGGTTCGATAGTTTTGGTTTAAAGCTGATTTCCAAACTCGGTTGAGTGAACTTGAGTTTTTGTAAACATGATTTATTTCAATGGTGAGGTATTAAAAATGCGAATCGTTTGTTATTGCTTCCTAATTTGTTTATCAAAATGTGAGAAACGAAAATAGGACACACTTAAAGAGATAATATACCTAGTATCCCATCAATGTGGCGTGTTTTCTGTATTTATTTGTCTGAAATATTTATCAAAGTTACCCTAAAAAATTTGTTATTGTTTTATGCGAATTAATTGTTGTTTTTTTATAAAACCTCCCATTTCCCCCGACATTTAGTGTTGTATAAATTACTTTGTAATCTATACTTGCTACACAGACAAGACAGGAGTGAGGAAAATAAAGATGGGAATCAAGATAGTGCACAGAATAGTGTAAGTAGAACTTCATGATAAACGTATTTGTCTGCTTATTTAAATCATATAGTCTGCCATTATTCATCTTATCCCTCCATTCACCCATCCATACGTTCATCAGCATCTAAATTATTTTGTCTGTGTGTCMATTGGTCTTTCTTTCACATCAGCTGCCAATCAAATCTCCCATTCATTCATCCATTTATTCATCCCTCCATTATCCAACCATCCCTATGCCTACCATCTGATCCATTTATCCTTGAAATTATAAACCAACCAATCAGCTTATAAATCAACAAATAAATTATGTGCTGATATACATGTGTAGCTGTTGATTGACAAAGCTTTGATTGATGTTCCAGGAAGAGGAGAAGCAGCGACAGGAGCAGGAAAGGATAGAAGTGGTATGTATAATATAATARTCGTATGAGGAAGTAGCTGATCCCATTAAAGARTGCTCAATACACATAAAATACTGCTCAAATACATCATTAAATACTGTCTGATGAGTGCGTAGCACGAAACTCGGAGTAACAGCAAAATCTTGCCTCTTTGATATCATATATGTRTATAATATAATATAATACTGGTAGAGGAATACAGGACCTGATGTCGTCCCATATCCATATAAACATATTCTAATGTACAGATGATCAGCTAACACTTTTTAGCATTTTAGAACACATCTCACGCCATACACAATGATGCTCTTTTTTAGCTTAAAGCTGTTGAGGATGCCCAKGAACAGATCAGAGCAAAACTTCTGATTAGAAGCAAGAATATTGCTGCATCAGGTACATRTGTTTGCTTCCAGGACATGTTTGACATTGAAATACTAACCCTAAATATCTCACCTATAGCTACATATTCACAAGGAAACTCACTCAAAGGATTAGACTCATCTGTGAAGAAGAACTCTGCTTTTATCAAAAAATTGGTAAGAAATAACTTCACWGTATTAGTGATGGATACATGTAGTTTATTTACAAATTATCTGTAATATTTAATGTATTTTAGAAATCTGTGACAGAGCAGCAACGAGARTCACTAAGTAATGAATGCAATGGTCTTAACTTGTCCAGATACATCCAGGAAGCAGTAAGTAATAAGTAAAGTCTATGAATATCATAATCATCAGATGACCCACACAATTGAATCAGGTGTGTTAAAAAGATTCAAATTAGTGACAAAATTGTTGATTTCATTTCAAATTTCATTTCAGGTATCATCTGTAATCGAAGGTTTGACAAAACTCAAGGTATGTTGACTGTACATTTAATGCATAAAATAAATTATGGATTTTATCTAATGTTACATGAGATCTTCTGTGTTGATTATTTTTATCTTTCTTGAACAGCAAGCTGATGTTAGCTGTGTGGCACATATTTGTGGTCTTATTCATCAAAGATACGCTGAATTCTCTGACCTTCTTCAGAAAGAGCTTGTTAAAGTCTTTGACAAATATGCTGGCAAAGAAGATGARCGTGCAGGCAATGTGTCCAGGTTTAGAGTGTCGCTACGACTGTTTGGRGAACTCATTATCAGTGGTGTGTTCTCAGAAAATAGTATCCAAGGACTYAAAGTCATYCTTAGCAACATCATTAACTGCGATAAGGAAAGYCATGTGTATGTGCAGATTGTCATCAGCTTTGCCAGGCACTGTGGTGAAGACTTTGCAGGAGTGTTGCCACGACGACATCGACAAGTTACTGAAAAGCACAATGTCACYTGGCCTACTAGTGGAGTSATACCAGTTGATGTACAAACAACATTTCATTCAATGCTACAGAGCTATTACAATTCCCTGTCTAAACATCTATTGAAGGCACACAAAGACCTACAGAATAGAGAAAGGCAAAATAGACATATTCTTCTGGTAATTTCTAATTAATTCAGCTTAGTTGTACCATACATGTAATAAGTACTGTATGACTTGATGTGACTTGATGTTTCATGATTATCACAGTTTATCCAAGACTATATAAAAAGTTTTTAAAATATTTTTGAACATTCCATTAGCTAATAAATTTATGTAATGTTTCTGTTTGTATGAATCAAGACAAAGGGAGAGCTGCACTCTGACAAGAAAGAAGCACTTGAAAAAAACCAGAAAGCTTATGATAAACTGCTTAGTAGCACCTCTACACTGGCTGTAAGTAGYTGATATGAGAACATTACATTGGTAATTGACATCTAATCATGTTTTTTCTGTAGGATGTTTTAGATGAAGAGATGCCAGAACTGCCTGAAGATAGTAAGACAACRSATGTGTTAATTATTTGAGAAAAAAKTTTATTTGGTATAAATAATGGCATGAKAAACATCTGTTGGAGAGTAAAGCACTATGTATTTTAATTTTATTGTAGAATTTGCACAAGAAASTGAAGGTGGAATTACAGTTGATATTTTCAATCCCTTCAAAAACATGGAGGTGTGTATTATAACAACTATAATATTATTGTAAGTTAATAACCGTAGATATGATAATGATAACATCATCAATTTAAGGATCTGTTGATGATGATAGACAACTAGTTTCATAATATTTTTGATGTTTTTGTTTACTAGTATTTGTTATTTGATAGTATGATGGAGAGAGTGGTATATGGGAAGATGAAGACACAAGAGTGTTTTATGAAAACCTGAAAGATCTTAAAGCATCTCTTCCTGGGGTAATTGTGCATATATATTAATTTTTTATTCATTCTTTTATTTAATCATTTATTTATCTTTCCATTCATGAATGCTGGCTCATATTTACAGATTCTTTACAAGGATGAACATAAGCTCTCTAACTCTGATAATGTTAGTGAAGAGAAAGAGAAAAGTGACTCTGACAAAAGCAAAAGTAAGGATATTCTCTCAAACACAATATGCAATATATAGCAATTAAAAGATGAAACAAGCAGATTGATAACTAAGAGTCCTTTATTGCACACAACCAGCTCCTTAAGGACGCTACTTGATTGCATGATAATCATGGTAATTGTGTTTGTAGAGCAAGATGATGACATTCTGGAAGAAGTAGAGGAAATTGATATTGAAGAAGATGTGGAAGACAATGAAGACAGTAAGAACAAACATGTTAAAGRCCCAGTGTGCATCATTATGCTTTGGGGGMTGCGAGGRCTGGGAGGCGGCCATTTTTAGTTTACCAAAAGTCTATAAATTGTACTGTGCGCTTCRAATCTTTGACCATTTCACTTTTCTAAGCACTTTAAATGCTAATATTAGAGTCTTCAACCATCTGAAATTCGTTTTATGGTGATATTTRGATACTAGAAGTATTTTGGTGTAAATCATAACAATAACRGAGGYRCGCAARGCATARTGGTGCAAACTGGGCCTTTAACYATATTTACTTACTACAACCTTTACTCTATCTGCTTATTTATGGTTGCAAGTTTTTTGTAGTTGTGGATTCATGTTATGTCTTGATTGGTCCAGGTGCAGATGATTCTGGTTCTGAGGGGGGTAGTGTTKCTACTAGCAACAGTGCCAATCTAGAGGTTATTATCACTAAACTACCAACCTGCGTCAACAAGGATATGATAGATGAAATAGCAATGGACTTCATGCTGTCTTGTAACACGAAGAAGAGCCGTAAAAAACTATGCCGATCAATGTTCAATGTCCAGAGAACAAGGTGAGAGGGTTTTCTATTCGGTGCAGTTTATACCATCATTGATTAGCTGCTCATAAGCTGACAGCATTGATGCGCCTGAAAGAATGCTTTGATTGACACATATCAATCATGAATTAATCTTTCAGGTTGGATTTGTTGCCAATGTACAGTCGTCTAGTTGCAACGCTAGATCAGTGTGTGAATGACATCAGTCCTGAACTAGTCAAACTGTTGAAAGGAGAGTTTAGACACCATGTAAGTTTAAATGTTTCTGTGACATGAATGACACTATTAATGCTTTAAATATAATCTGATGAAGACATTTGTAGCCTACAAATTGTCACTTTATTTTTGAATCTAGGATATTGATAACTTGTCATTAAGAAATATTATTAATATATTCAAGGTGAGAAAGAAAGATCAAATYAACTTGGAATCCAAGATTAAGACATCAAGATTTATAGGTAACTATATTATTATGAGGAACAAGCATTAGTACAGTGAATGGTATCGGATGTAATGTGCTTTGTCATGGTTATCACCAGCATATCAATAAACATCATCATAATGGTTGCCATACACAACCACAATTTTTATCCAACTGACTTGTACATTTATTGAATCAAACAGGTGAAATGACCAAGTTCCAGATGTTTCCCAAGGGAGACACATTGCTCTGTCTAAAGGTAC